TTCCTCATACACCTGACACTGGGAAAAGCAAAGAACATGCCATCTCTTTCAGTGACTTCCCCCTATCATTATTTAGAAGTGTATTTCATAATTTCCCAAGAAGTGGCGATTACACTAATTATCTTCTTGTTATTGATTTCTAGCTTCATTCCACTATAGCCAGAGTCAAACTCTATGATTTACATTCTTTACAGGCTAGCATACGGTGAATTTTTGAAAATGCTTTGTATGTATTGAAAAAGAATGTGAGGCATCTCTCTCGAGTGGTGAATCCTCTGGTTATCGCTGCCATCCTGGCCTTGGCGGTGCTGATTTCGAGACCCTCCGGAGCAGAGTTCCGTGCACGGGGATGTGTCAGAGTCCCTGGCTTGGCGCCCCGTGCTCTCAGGCCTCTGTGAGCCGCAGAGGGTCTCGATGATTGGAAATGGGGCAGGCAGGGCTACAGGCAGCCTGTGGTCGGTGACGACTCTGGAGGTCCAGTGTCTCACAGTGACCTCTAAAACATGGTTTGCTATTCACTTGACCCAGAAAACCCCACAAACTCATGCAAGTCAAGAGATTCAAATCTTCGTGTTCACTTTCAGAACACTCGTGAAACTGCCCAGGCCAGTAAGGGTATGCATATCTGTAAAGCTACCAAGTATCTGCAAGATGTCACTTTAAAGAAGCAATGTGTGCCATTCCGTCATTACAATGGTGGAGCTGGTAGGTGTGCCGAGGCCAAACAGTGGAGCTGGACTCAGGTCGGTGGCCCAAAAAAAGTGCTGAATTTTTACTGCACATGCTCAAAAATGCAGAGAATGATGCTGAACTTAAGGGCTTAGATGTAGATTCTCTGGTCATTGAGCACATCCAGGTGAACAAAGCCCCCAAGATGCAGCGCAGGACTTAACAGAGCTCATGGTTGGATCAACCCATGCATGAGCTCTCCCTGCCACATTGAGATGATCCTTACTGAAAAAGAAGAGATTGTTCCGAAACCAGAAGAGGAGGTTGCCCAGAAGAAAAAGACATCCCAGAAGAAACAAAAAGAACAAAGCCCAAGATGCAGCGCAGGACTTAACAGAGCTCATGGTTGGATCAACCCATGCATGAGCTCTCCCTGCCACATTGAGATGATCCTTACTGAAAAAGAAGAGATTGTTCCGAAACCAGAAGAGGAGGTTGCCCAGAAGAAAAAGACATCCCAGAAGAAACAAAAACTTATGGCCTGGGAATAAATGCCACAAAAAATAAATGCAAATAAAAGTTTAAAAAATAAATAAATAAATAAAAAGAATGCGTATTTGGTAGTTGGGTGTTTCTAGATGTTTTAATTAGGCCAAATGCATTAACCATCTCATTTAAATATTCTGTATCATTGCTAATATTTTGCCCGTTTTTATCAGTTATTAAGAGAAGTATGTTAAAAATCTTCAAGTATGAAGTAAGTCAAAGAGAAAGACAAATACCATATGATATCACTTATATGTGGAATCTAAAATATGACAGAAATGAACTTTTATGAAACAGAAACAGACTCACAGACATAGAGAACAGACTTGTGGTTGCCATGGGGTGGGGGAGGTGGGAGAGGGACGGAGTGGGAGTTTGGGGTTAGCAGATGCAAACTATTATATAGAGAATGGATAAACAAAAAGGTCCTACTGTATAGCACAGGAAACTATATTCAATATTCTGTGATAAACCATAATAGAAAAGAAAATTAAAAAAAAAATATATATATATATATAAAACTGAATCACTTTGCTATACAGCAGAAATTAACATAACATTGTAAATCAACTATAGTTCAATAAAAAATCATTACAATGTTTAAAAAATCTTCAAGTATGGTTACAGGTTTGTCTATTTTTCCTTGAAGTTCTGTAATTTTTGCTTTATAAAATTTAAGGCTGTGTTATTAAGTGTATACAAACTTAGAATTTTTATCTTCCTGTCAGATTAACATTTTCTTTTGGCTAGTGTTTGAGTGTTTTTTTAAAAAATTGGAATGTTTATATTTTATGAGTGCTTTCGGAATCTTTATATTTTATGAGTCTCTCTCCTCAGAGTTTTGTTTTTTAACCAACCTGATGATCTTTGTCTTTTCATTAAAACATTTAGTCCATTTTTGGGCTTCCCTGGTGGTGCAGTGGTTGAGAGTCCGCCTGCCGATACAGGAGACACGGGTCCGTGCCCTGGTCCGGGAAGATTCCACATGCCGCGGAGCGGCTGGGCCTGTGAGCCATGGCCGCTGAGCCTGCGCGTCCGGAGCCTGTGCTCCGCAACGGGAGAGGCCACAGCAGTGAGAGGCCCGCATACCGCAGAAAAACAAAACAGTTAGTCCATTTTCATTTACCGCAATTACTGGCTTAAATCTAACATCTTACTAATTTCCTTCTATTTTTCACGCATGTTCCTTTTTCTCTCCTTTCTTGACTTCTTTTGGATTGATTTTTTTTTATCATTTTATTGTCTTAATAGTTTTACACTCTATTAACTTGGTAGTTATACATTGTATTACTATCCTTTTAGTGGTTGTACTAGAGATTATAATATGCATCCTTAACTTATTAAGTCTAACATAAATTAGTACTTTTATTATTTCCAAGACAATGCTGCAAGCTTAGAGTTTTAACTTAACCTTTTCTCCCTGAAAATCATATGCTATTGTTGTCATGTATTTTAATTATACATATTTTTGAACTCCATAGAACATTATTAGAAGCATTTTAGACAATATTAATTAAAATTTGTCCTGGTATTTACCCTCTCTAAAGCTCTTTATTCTTCATTTCTGAGCTTCCATCTAGGATTATTATCTTTCTGCCTAAAGAATATTCCATTCCTCCCAGCCCTCCCAACTTATCCAACACTTTTTAAAAATATTTATTTATTTATTTGGCTGTGCCAGTATCTTCGTTGCAGCGTGTGGGATCTTTACTTGTGGCACGTGAACTCTTAGTTGCCGCATGTGGGATCTAGTTCCCTGACCAGGGATCGAACTTGGGTCCCCTGCATTGGGAGCACGGAGCCTTAGCCACTGGGCCACCAGGGAAGTCCCTATCCGACAATTTTTTATTGTTGTTTGTATATTTTCATGGATATATATATATATATATATATATATATATATATCTTGTGGATATTTATATATCTACAAGATTTTATTATTATTATTGTTCATATGGTCAATGTTTACTTAAATTCACTCACATATTTGCCTTTTTTGTTGGTCTTTATTGCTTCCTGCATTTCCGGGCTTCCAAGTAGGTAATTTTCCTCCTGCTTGAAGGATACTTTAATATTCCCTTTATTGTATGTCTGCTGATGACAAAGTCTCTCAAGTTTTTGTTTGTGAAGTTTATTTCATCTCCATTTTTGCTAGCAAGAGAAGTCTAGGTTGGCAGGCCATTTTTTGTTTGTCAAACTCTCTAGTTGTATCTGGTCTAACCTCCAATTATCAAGAGGACTACATTTTTGGTTCTTAAAGATGAAAATCTTAGACATCATGCATATTTTCTTATATTTGGGCGAACATAAGCTCATTTTCTAAAGTTGGGAGTTGGAGTTTATAACTATGGAATCTTCACTCAGGAAAAACCACAGTCCTTGCCCACCCTCCCTGGTTTAGAACAAATAAAATGAATATCAATATTCGGAAGTTTAAGAGAAGCAAGAAGTCACAAAAATGCAGTCAGAGAAATGGGGTGAATTGTCAAGGGGCAGTTCCTAAAGCAAAACCCTGGATGTTTGCTGCAATTCTCCAGGCTATAAGAATGGTTCTTTTTCTCGAATGAATATGTATATATATGTAACTGAGTATAACTGAGTCAGTTTGCTGTACAGAAGAAATTAACACAACATTGTAAATCAACTATACTTGAATTTAAAAAAAAATTTTAAAGAGTGGTTCTTTTTCTTTCCTTCTTACCTTCTCAACAAGTATTTTCTAAGCTCTGCTTAGTGCTAAGTACTGTAAATCTTGATAAATAAGGCATGGAGTCAGCCTGCAAAGAGCTTCCAGTAGAGAAGATGACTGCTACATAAATAGTAGTAACAGACTGAGGCTTCATAAGAGCTGCATAGACAAAAATCCTTCCTAGTTCGGAGGAGTGAAAGGTTACTTTGAGGAAGTAAGGAGCTTAGGGAGGAAAGAATCAGGAAAAATACCTGTAGGAGGCAGCATTTGAGCTATACCTTTAAGAAGAGAAGGAATTTGGTCATGCCTAGATGGTGACAAGTGACAGGTGGCAAGCTTTCCTGGGAAACGTTGTCCAGGAAGGAATAGGCAAGTACTATGGTCACACTGAATTACACGTGCAAAAGAGCAGCGAGAAATAAGAGTAAGTGCCAAACTACAGACGGTCTTGAATGCCAGGCTAAGGAGTTCTGTTTGAGACAAGTGCTCAGCTAAAGCATGTCTTGAGAGTTTCTTCAGAGAGGTGAGGGAAAAGGCTGTCGGGTGTCTATCATCTATCTACCCATCTATTTGTCTATCATCTATCGGGACCAACTCTGTGCCAAGCCCTTTGCCAGGTGCTTTATACACAATCTCTCATTAAATCTTCTTGTCAGACTACGAGATAGGAATCAGGATCCTTACGTCGCGAAGGTGCCCTCACCCGTTTATCTTTCGCGGCTCCACGCACTTGCCTGTTGTCTTCTCAGGACTGTGTTAAGGACATGACCTGAGGTGTCAGACTGAGTTTTAAGGCAGATCCTCATGTACTTCAGAGTGTGTGAGTAACTGGGAGAAGATCCCACAGATAGTGAGACTGCACCGAGGCAGCCGCCAGAAGCTGTCGCTCGGGCTGGGCACCAGCGCTGCTCCGGGAGGCTGGAGCACGCCCCGCCCAGTCGCTCGGGATTGGCCGCGGGAGCCCTGACAGATGAGGGGGCGGGGCCGCGAGCTGCGTCCCGGGACTCGCCCGGGACTCCGAGGCTGCAGGCCGCGCCTAGGCTGAGCCGCCCCCGCGTGCCTCCCGCTTGCCTCCCGCGCCACCCACACGAGCGCTTCTTTCCAGCATGTTGTGGCAGGGCAGCCAGGCGCTCCGGCGCTTCTCCACCGGCCAGGTGAGTCCGGCCCCGGCGAGCGTCCCGGCTCTCACCCGGGGGCTGCTTTCCAGATCCGGAGAGGGCGGGCCGGGCAGCGGGGCTGAGGGAGGGCAGTGTTTACTTTGAGCAAAGTGTTTACTTTGCTAAAGGCCAGGACGACGTTTTTAAAACCGGGAGAGTGAAGAGTGGGGTCCGGGGAGGGTCCTGAATGGGGCTTGTCGAGCGAGCCATTGTCTTCTACAGGGACGGGGCTGAGGATGTCTGGCTGGGATTGACAGGGTGGAAACAGTCACTCGGCAAGAGGGACAGAGTCGGTTCCTTTCCGTTTTCATTTCAACTGTGAGATGGAGCCGAGGTACAGGACCGAGACCACCTCCTGGAGGAGAGGGTATCAAGTCAACCGGGTCCTCCTCCGCGGCCTGAGAGGTGTGAGCGCTCCCGACTGGCATGCAGGGCCCATTCAGATAATGGCACTCCGAGCCGGTGACCGCAAGCTCATTATTCCTGAGCTGCAGGCGGCAAGATTTCTAGGATCACCAGGCGCTGCAGAAGCAGCCACCCTGGAACATTAGTAAACTATGGTGCAAAAACCTAGCCCTGGCCCAGCCCCGCGCCTTGGAATTGCATCAGCCTCTCCAGAAACGGAATGAAGGAGGACACGTTGCATGGGGCGCTGCCTTCAGCACTTCAGGGGCCTGAGGAGAGATGCCTCCCTGCATCTAGGCAGACTCCAAGCTGTGTAGGG